CTCCCCTTAAAGGTATTAATCCTACTGTGGTTCACTATCTAAAGTTATAGATCTAGAGCTACCAAGAAAAATGTTTTTAAGAAGTTTTGCTTTTAAGCCACTGAATGTATCCAGTACTCAAAGGTACCACTCCAGAACATTTTACACCTCTCCAGTATATTAATTCAGAAGAAAACATGCCAACAGTTAAAAAAAAAAAACACACATTTCTTAACATAAAAAGACTACTGAACATACCTACATGTGATTCTAGTATGTCAGAGTGGTTATGTAAACCTAAATTAGTAATGTGTTCATTGAAGTAGTTTGAAAAAGACATATTAGAACTGCATTACCAGTGTTTACCAAAAAACAGGTACATATTATACTGCAAAATTAACCTAATAACAAAAAATACTCCACTTCCTCCCAGAGAGCTACATTGTGCTGATATCCATAGATAATACTATAAAAGGATTTCATTATTGCGATATGCCAGGCTCACAATGAGTATGTTAGTACAGACATCGTGGGTTTAATGTTACTGTAAGAATGTCATTAGTGAAACATGTATAAGACATGTAGAAAACTAGCATTAAATCTCTTAAGGGCAGTGATTCAAACTGGCAGCTGCTAGAAAAGGTGCTTCTAGGAATAAAAAAATTAAATAGATTTAGTTTTAGCACATACTAGTTTTTAGTGCTTCCCCAATGTAATGAACTAATTCACATAAATTTCTGTTGCTGGAACTAATGGACCAAAAGAGTATGAATTTTGCCCCCTTTAACTACTAGTCCAGTCTTGAAAACAGAAGCAGTCACTTGTAGTCTTCCACATGGCATTGTTAGGAGTAGACTGAACGGTCAGCAGGAAGTTCTGGTTGAAGTCGGGGTGTTTCCATCAAACTTCACAGTTCCACTGGTCACAGAAGGAACTGTAGTCTAGGCCTGAGTAGCTTGCTCACAAACTGGCCAGCAGTTTAACAGATTGGCCTGGGACTCACTAGAAGGCAACATCTCAAAAAAAATTAGGGCTTCCAGCCCTATAGTAACATTTCCATTCCATATCAAAATGGCCTTGTCCAGATTCAGCCTGGTTAGTGCCCATCTTCTTTTGTCCATTGTTTTATAATAAATGAACTACCACACAACTGCAGCCATCTCACACACTAGCAAAGTAATGCTCAAAATTCTCCAAGTCAGGCTTCAACAGTATGTGAACCATGAACTTCCAGATGTTCAAGCTGGATTTAGAAAAGGCAGAGGAACCAGGGATCAAATTGCCAACATCCGTTGGATCATTGAGAAAGCAAAGGAATACTAGAAAAACATCTGCTTCTGCTTTATTGACTAAGCCTCTAGTTGTGTAGATCACAACAAACTGAAAAATTCTTCAAGAGATGGGAATACCAGACCACCTTACCTGACTCCTGAGAAATCTGTATGCAGATCCAGAAGCAACAGTTAGAACTGGACGTGGAACAACAGACTAGTTCCAAATAGGAAAAGGAGTACATTAAGGCTATATATTGTTACCCTGCTTATATAACTTATATGCAAAGTACATCATGAGAAATGCCGAGCTGGATGAAGCACAAGCTGGAATCAAGATTGCCAGGAGAAATATCAATAACCTCAATATGCAGATGACACCATCCTTATGGCAGAAAGTGAAGAAGAACTAAAGGGCCTCTTGATGAAAGTGAAAGAGGAGAGTGAAAACTTGGCTTAAAGCTCAACATTCAGAAAACTAAGATCATGGCATCTGGTCCCATCACTTCATGGCAAATAGATGAGGAAACAATGGAAACAGAGACTTTACTTTTGGGGGCTCCAAAATCACTGCAGATGGTGACTGCAGCCTTGAAATGAAAAGACACTTGCTCCTTGGAAGAAAAGCTATGACCAACCTAGACAGCATACTAAAAAGCAGAGACATTACTATTGCCAACAAAGGTCCATCTAGTCAAAGCTATGGTTTTTCCAGTGGTCATGTATGGATGTGAGAGTTGGACTAGCTGAGTGCCGAAGAATTGATGCTCTTGAACTGTGGTGTTGGAAAAAAACTCTTGAGAGTCCCTTGGACTGCAAGGAGATCCAACCAATCAACCCTAAAGGAAATCAGTCCTGAATATTCATTGGAAGGACTGATGTTGAAGCTGAAACTCCAATACTTTGGCCACCTGATGCTAAGAACTGACTCATTGGAAAAGACCCTTGTGCTGGGAAAGATTGAAGGCGGGAGGAGAAGGGGACGACAGAGGGTGAGATGATTGGATGGCATCACCGACTCGATGGACATGAGTTTGAGCAAGCTCCAGGTGTTGGTGATGGACAGGGAAGCCTGGCGTGCTGCAGTCCATGGGGTCACAGAGTTGGCCACAACTGAGCGAATGACTGAACTGAACTCATAATAAATATTGGTCAATTTTTCAGCAGCTCTGCATGCCTGATCTACATTAAGTTTAAAATCCCCAATATTCCTAACTCTCACTATTTCCCATCTCCTACAGTACATTACTGTTGTTTTAAAACACAATTTACTATTTTTAGGAGTCCTGAAAATGATAAAAGTTTATTTTTATCCACTTGTGTCCAGATTATGTTGCTCTTTTTTCCTACGTATTAATCCAAGTTTCCACCTGATCTCATTTTTCTTCTAGCTGAAGAATTTCTTTCAGAGAATTAACTTTCCTGTAACACATGGCAGTTGGTTATAAAGTCTTTCAATTTTTATTTGTTTGAAAATGCCTTATATTAGTCAAGTGTAAAATTCTAGGTGGGCTTTTTTCTTTCAGTACTTTAAAATTGTCACTTCATAGTCTTCAGACGTATAATTTCTGACAAAAAGTAGGCATCCATTCTTTCTTCTTCCTCCGTGCATATTATGTCTTTTTCTATCTATTCAACATTTTCTTTTTATCTGTGACTTTAGCAATTTAATTGTAATATTTCTTGGTGTGGTTTTCTTCATGTTTCTTTTCCTTGGCATTCATTTAGCTTCTTAGGTCCATGGATTTATACACTTCTTGGGTTTCCCTTGTGGCTCAGCTGGTAAAGAATCTGCCTCTAATGCGGAAGACCTTGGTTCAGTCCCTGGGTTGGCAAGATCCCTTGGAGAAGGGAAAGGCTACCCACTTCAGTATTCTGGGCCTAGTATAGTTGCAAAGAGTCAGACACAACTGAGCGACTTTCACTTTCACTTCACTTTTAAAAATCTAACTTTTGCCCATTATTGCTCTTTTCAGTCTCCCTTTGTTCCTTCTGAAATGCTAGTTACCAATATTAGACAACTTTGTCCCACAGGTCAGAGATAACTCTGTTTATTATTTTCTAGTCTTTATTCAGTGTGGGGTTCTTCTTTCATAGTTTTTAACCTTAAAGTTATCCATTGTGCCTTTTGTCATTTAACCTTCCATATGTGGTGTGTGTATGTATATATATATATATATATATATATATATATATATATATATAGTTATTAATCTTACCCATTTTTTTTGTTTCTTGTTTGGTTGATTTGTTTACTCATTTCAGATATTTTTCATATTGAGAATTCCAGTTAGGAACTTTTTATTTTATTTTATTTATTTTTTTTCAGTTAGGAACTTTTTATTTATTTATTTATTTATTTATTTATTTATTTATTTTTATTTTTTTTTTTAGTTAGGAACTTTTTAAAATAAATGCTCTTTCTCTTATCATATTCTTGAACATATAGAGTATTTTTATGGTTTTAATGGCCTTGATTATTAATTTTATGTCATTTCTTTCTCTGTGGCTTACTGATTCATTTTTCTTCTTGATTACAATAATATATCCCTTTTATTCATATCAAGTAATTTTTTATCGCGGGCTAGATGTTACAGATTTTATGTTGTTAAGTGGAAGTTTTGCTGTATTGTCTGAAATCTTCTGGGCCCTTCCCTGGGATGAATTTAAATTACTTGGAATTACTTTAATCCTTTTAAGGTTTGCTTTAAGTTTTGTTGTATTAGATTCAGAACTCATTTTACTCTCAGACTCATTTGGCTCCTCTACCAAGGCAATAAATGCCCTTCTAGTTATTCTATCCCATTGGCCGTGGGTTAGGAAGTTTTATACCTCTCTGTGTGCTTTGGGGTTACTTCACCCTACTCTTTTTCTCTGGTTTTTCCCCAACCTCAAGTGTTTTCCTTACATTTTCAAAAGTTAGTACTCAGGAGACCCTCCTGCAGATCAGACAAAGGCTCTGTATCCTTTTTCTCTTGTATTTTATCTTACAAATACTATTTGTCGTGAGTCTCTTGAAGTCTAATTCTATTGCCTTAACTTAGTGAGTCCGCAAGGCTCTGTTTTGGTGGTCTCTTTTTGTTTAGGGTTGAAAACTCTCTAAGCAATAAGCTGTGGTAATCACAGGGCTCTGTTCTCAAGTATCACTGTCTGTACTGCCTGTTTTCTAAAGTCTAAAACCCATTTCATATACTTTGTATGATTTGTTTAGATGTCTGGTATGGAGGGAGGGGTGTGTGTGTGTGTGTGTGTGTGTGGTCGCTTCAGTCGTGTCTAGCTCTGTGATCCCATGGACTGTAGCCCACCAGGCTCTTCAGTCCGTGGGATTCTCCAGGCAAGAATAGTAGAGTGGATTACCATGCCCACCTAGGGATGTAACCCGCGTTGCCTACATTAGCAGGCAGGTTCTTTACCACTAGCACCACCTGAGAAGCCCTCATGGAGAGGTAAATTGGTTCTTTTACTCCATTACGGCCAGATATAGAGTCGGTCCTTATGAAATCTTGTTTAAAGAACAGACATTGACAGTTTTAGAACTTAATGTTATTTAGGCTTGTGACTTACAGGTTTAAGAAGAGTGATCCTTTATAAGTATAAGAAAATGGTTTTTGCTGTCATTCCCTCCACCAAAAAAAAAAATTCTAACAAGCACCCTCAATGTGCCATTTCTGAAGCTGTACCTTTATTCACATTCAGAAACAATGATACCTATGCAGCTAACTCAAGTGCTAAAGTATTTCCCATTTACAGGGTACTGCTTTACAAAGCCAGAACTGATCTTCATGTTGGAACAAGGAGAAGATCCATGGTTATTAGAGAAAGAATTTATATACAGAAGTTCCCCAGGTGAGTTATTGAATACTGGCACAAGGCAGCCAAGAAAATTAGATCCGAAGTGATCACCTAGATAGAAGTGAGCAGTTTGAAATATTTCTTAGCACTCTCCTATTAGAGGTCTTTACATTTGAAATTTTAGAAATAATAAATCTAATAAAATGTGAGAAGGGGACAACTAAAAAAAAAGGAATGGAATGTAAGCATGTTGATATTCTCATCTTTAAAAGATGGGAGCTAAGTATGCCATTTGAAACTAAAAAATTAAGTAATGGATGCCTATTTAACAGTAAAAAGATAAAAACTAAGAAAAGTTAATAAAAAACTGAAATTGGGAGTAACAGATCAGAAGAAAGAAAGAAATTTTATCATTATATAATAAATTATTAGATACAATCTAAATTAATAAATGATTAAGGAATTATATAGTATAGTTAGAAAGGATAAAGACTAGAGCAAAGTGCAACCTTCCTAACTGTTAAAAGTTATTTACACTTGACAGACCAAAGAAAACAGACCTGTTACTAGAGAAGTTTCTTATAAATACTGTATCAGGGTCCTCAGGATCATCATCAGGTTTATTAATTCACCTGGAGGACTCAGCGCCCAGGCATACTCGTAACTAAGACTTATACAGTGAAATCATACAGAGCAAAATCAGCAAAGAGAACAGGTGTATGGGGCAAAGTCAGTAAAAAACCAGTTATGACAACTCGTGTGCAATATCTACCTGGAAAGTTCATTTGCAATGAGTTACCCAGAGTTTTTACTATAGGCACCCATGTATCAAATTCTAGGCTTTCAGATAGAAACTAATTATTCAGCGTAAATATATTGTTTGTACAAACAGTTTAAGCACATTGAGCCCCTCTTAGCAATTCTGGGAATCTTGGTAACCTTCTTGAAATCTGAGTTCCCAAATGCTAGTTAAGGGCTCATCTTGTAAGCAGGCCTTTCTAAGGGTAAAGTTAGGCCTACTGTGTTAAAAGTTTTCACCACAAAAGCTATGCAGATGCACAACATAAAACAGAGGAAGACATACATATCTGACATATCAACTCTCAATGTAAATGAGTTAAATACACCTATTAAGAGAAAAGGCTATCATATTGTATCAAAGAGATTGTTCTTGCTTAGTCACTAATTCATATCTGACTCTTTCACGACCCCATGGACTGTAGCCCTCCAGGCTCCTCTGTCCATGGGATTCCCAGGCAAGAGTACTGGAGTGGGTTGCCATTTCCTTCTCCAAGGGATCTTCCCACTGTAGGGATCGAATCTGCATCTCCTGCTTGGCAGGCAGATTCTTAACCACTGAGCCACTAGGGAAGCCCATCAAAGAGTTCATCTACAAAATAGGAAGTTTGAAAATGCAGTCATGAATTATTAAGCCAGCAAACATAAAAGCAACTCAGTGTTTATTTATTTCAAAGTTCAGTTCAGGTCAAAAACAGGTGGAAAAAGGACACTTTGATAATGCTAAAGAAGATAATTTTTAAAGGATACAAAAAAGTTCAAAATATTAGTACACCAAATAAATTGTCATCACGATTCATAAAACAAAAAACTGCAAGAGTTATAAGGAGAAACAAGAACCCATTAGATATAGTCAACCTTAATATGCCTCTCTAATTTTGTTTCACAGTCTGTGGACTCTAGAGTGAGTGAGTGTGTGTGTGTGTGTGTGTGTGTGTGTTAGTTACTCAGTCGTGTCCAACCCTCTGCAACCCCATAGACTGCAGCCCACCAGGCCCCTCCATCCATGCGATTCTCCAGGCAAGGACACTGGAGAGGGTTGCCGTTTCCTTTTCCAAAAGGAACTATAGAAAGTGAAGTTGCTCAGTCATGTCTGACTCTCTGCAACCCCATGGACTGTAGCCTACCAGGCTCCTCCATCCATGGAATTTTCCAGGCAAGAGTACTGGAGTGGGTTGCCATTTCCTTCTCCAGGACTCTAGAATAGTGCTTGGCAAACTGTGGCCCACATGCCAAATCCTGCCTACTGATTGTTTTGGCAAAGAAACATTTATCGGAACACAGCAACATCCATTTGTTTACATATTCAAGCTACAAGGCAGACTTGAATAGCTACAATAGAGACTGAATAACCAGTAAAGCCTAAATCATTAACTCTATGGCCTTTCACAGAAAAAGCTTACCAGCATCTTATCTAGAAATATAAATAGCATATTTTATAAAGATGAATCTAATATGTTCTGAAAACAAAGCTATGCAAACACACTACATAACTATTCTTAAAGAATAAACTCCCTTTTAAATGACCTTAGAACATTGATAAAATGTAAAGGTGGCACCAGGTGGCGCTAACAGTAAAGAACCAGCCTGCCAATGCGGGACGCATAAGAGACGTAGTTTCATCCCTGGGTGGGTAAGATCCCTTGGAGGAGGGCATGACAACCCATTCCAGTATTCTTGCCGGGATAATACCAGGGATATAGGAGCTTGGTGGGCTACAGTCCCTAGGGTCGCAAAGAGTCGGACACGACTGAAGTAACTTAGCAAAGTTATTTCAGGCAAATTCTACAAAGTAAAGATATTGGTATATAACACTAAAAATTGCACACAATATGAGAAAATTTTAAATTCTTCTACCTTAAAATTAATAATGAATATATATATATATATCTTTAAAAACCTATTCTTCAAAGTTAAAATTGTATGATATGCCGAAATTTTTTTTTAATGAAAAGCATGATTATTAGACCCTTTGAGCTGTAGATGAAGCAATGCTTAGAGGAAACTATTTTCACCTCATATACTTGTTTTTAAAAGCAGTAAAGTTTTAGAAGAAAACTAAGCAAACCAAAAGATGCAATAAAGATAAAATATTATAGTTATAAGTCATTATAATTATAAAGCCGGTGGTTCTTGGAATAAAAGCAAATAAAATAGCTAACCTCAGCTAGAAAAAGGGAAGAAAGTACTATTACTCATTTTAAATTTTGGCTCAGAGTCCTACTTATATCATATAATCTCAGAATATTTTAGTCTATACGTGATCTCTTACTTTTGTAAACTCTTAACCCATGTGATGGATGTGTCTAAAGAAAATGAGATTCTGTGCCAGATAGCATAAGTTACTGAGAGTTCCTTTCCTCACCTGGATTACAATCTCCCAAGAAGAATGGTCTGTGTTTCACTCTTCCTGCCTGGGCACTTGTCACATAATAAATATTATATAATAATATTGTAGGCTGATTCCAAAGTCAGGTGGAGAGAGGTATTTCACATTGATTCACTCAGAAAACACTGTCCACAAATGTAAATATGTAAATTTCTGTGACTTTGGAATCATCAGGTATGGGTTGTTATTGCATCTGAGCCCTTATATGTGAAAGAACTCTAGGTAAATTTTAGACATGAAGCTTTTTATGTACCTCTAAATTTATATTATAGAGGGATGCAAAGAATATCACAGTGAAGGTTTTATTTTGAAAAAGTGAGCAAAGCTTCATAAAGCATATATATGGTGCTATAGATTAAAAGGTGAACTATTATTTTAGGTACAACCAAGAAAGAGAAAATGCTTCTCATTTAACTGTGGATTTTCCTTCAATTTTAAGATGCCTCTTGATTTTGGTGATGGGTATTTACTATAAAGTCACAGATATGGGTGCTTTTATCCCTTTAAAAAAGTGAATGATATATAGGTAGTAGCTTATTTAAGATTTTAAAATAAATATTGTTTAAATTTGTGAGAAGGATGTTACAAAGTTTGTTTTTTGTTGTTAAAATTTGGGAAAATAGTGTGCCCTGCCTGAAGGGTACCTAGGTTCTCAATAGTTCTAAGGCTAGAATGAAGGATAATTTAGGGAAAGAATGTGAGTATGAAGTTATTGTTGGAAATGAACCACTTAATGAGGACTGAAACTCTATCAAGAATTAGAGCAGAAAATAATGTGTACTAGACAGGAGACGTGGGTTTGATCCCTGGGTCAGGAAGATCCCCTGGAGGAGGAAATGGCAACCCACTCCAGTATTCTTAACTGGGAAATTCCATGGACAGAGGAGCCTGGTGGGCTATAGTCCATGGGCTTGCAAAAAATCAAACACAGCTGAGTATGCATGCATGCTCATGCTAAGAGGATTGGTAGCAAGAACACATAATGAGCATATAGTTAGTGTAAAACTTTCTTTTTCTGAATTACATCACTTTAATCTTTCATCTGTTGATACCTAAGGTAGTATAGCCAAAGCCTTCAAATATTTTTAGCATGGGCATGACATTTTTACATGGAGTGTGGGTAGAAGGGGACAGTAGCAGTCAAATATGCACAGGAAATTTGTGGTAAATAAATATAAAAAAAGGATACTTATAAGGTTTCTAGGGCCAACTTGAAACACAGTCCTTAAGATCTTGCAGTGAATAAAGACTAGATATGTGGGAAAATAGATGGAAATTAAGGATTGGACAGGAGCAAGACTGGTTTGGGGGATATAAGAGAACAAATTGAAAAAAAGGAAAGTAAAGGTTTGATGATTAAGAGGGATTCACTACTGAACAACCCTGATATAATACCAAGGCACTAGAACCAGGAAAGAGGGGTAACTCCAATAGAGGTAGAAAAATTACTCTCTTATCAGTTTTCTCACTTCCACCTATATGTTTATGTTTCTGATTCTCTCTTTCAATGTAAGAAAGTTGGTGTCACGATTCTTGTTTGTTTGTTTGCCATACCATGTAGCTTGCAGAATCTTAGTTCCCAGACCAGGGTGGGGTTCCAGTTGGAAACATACAGACTAGTGGTTTTCTTACCATTGTACTCTGTTTCACTGTGAATATAGTCACTGGTGTGCTTCCCTAATGCAAACTCTATCTCAGTAAAGCCACTAAAAGCAATTCTCCATTGATACTATTTGTTGTCTACTTAGAGCAAAATTCTTGCTGAATTCATTCCAGTCTTTGTTTCTCTGTTCCCAGGATTCAGCTCTCTTAAATATATCCTCCTTTCTTAATTGTTGCTTTCCTTTATATCCTCTTCTTTTCCCCGTTTTGAAAATTATGCTTTAAGTTACCGAAGATATGTGTAATTTCATTTCTAGATTGCTCTCTCTTTTTCCAGTAGAAAAAGTTTTTAACAACAAAAGAAGAGAGACTATAAACTTGAAATTACATTATTTTGGGGAAACTGAGCCAGACACCAAGGAGTCAAACACATAATGGGGCATAGGTATATAAATCTCATTTCATAAGTGTGTTAAATATCATAAAATATTTTTAATTTTCTCATTTTTAGAAGAATCCCAACCTGATGAACTCTTAGAGGAGAGCCTAGAAAACCAAGGCAAACATTTGAGGCAAGTTTTATTCATCAACAAATCATTGACTGTGGAGCAAGAAATATCAGGAAAACCATGTACTCTGGACATAAACATTTTTCCTGCAGAAACAATCCCCTGTAAATTTGACACTACAGGGTCTACTTACTTGCTTCTTAGCTCACTGGCCCCACACTGTCAGTATTCAAGAAAGAAGACTTATGTGCCTAATGTTTGTGAGAATTGGCTCCTCAGCATTAAAGATGGCAGAACTAATACTGGAGAGAATTCTTTGGTTTATAATAAAAATGTGAAAACCTTTGGACATAAAGACAAAGTTATCCAGCATCAGACAATTCAGACTCTGCAGCAAGCTTTTGAATATAATGAATGTAGAAAACATTTTCTTGAAAAGACTGCCCTTGTTATGTCTAAGAGTACCCACCCAAAAATGAAACCTTATAAATTCAATAAATTTGGGGAAAACCAACATGAGAAATCAACCTTGATAGTTTCTCAGAGCAGTCATCCAGAGGAGAAGAGTCACTATGAGTTTAATAAATATGAATGTACTAAAAATGGAAATAACTTTAGTAGGATCACTCAAAAAACTGACATAGAAGGGAAATCTTTCAGCCAAAAATTACACATTAAAGAACAGGAAAAATTTTATATAGGGGTGAAATCCTTTAAATATGGAAAGAATTTCAGCCATAATTCAACCCTCCCAGTGCATCAGAGAATTCACACAATAGACCAGTCCTCTGACTACGGCAGATGTACAGAAACATTGGGTTACCAGTCAACTTGCAATGTGCATGAGAAAACTCAAATAATGTTGAAACCCTATGAGTGTAATGAATGTGGAAAATCCTGCACTAAAACTTCATGCCTGATTCAGCCTCAGAAAAGTCACGTGGAGGAGAAACCCTTTGAATGTCCTCAATGTGGGAAAGCTTTCAGTGAGAAGTCACGTCTAAGAAAGCATGAGAGAACTCACACAGGAGAGAGACCTTACAAATGCGATGGATGTGAGAAAGCTTTCAGTGCAAAGTCAGGACTAAGAATACATCAGAGAACTCACACAGGAGAGAAACCTTTTGAATGTAATGAATGTGGGAAATCTTTCAACTATAAATCAATCCTCATAGTACATCAAAGAACTCACACAGGGGAGAGACCCTTTGAATGTAATGAATGTGGAAAATCTTTCAGCCATATGTCAGGGCTGAGAAATCATCGGAGAACTCACACAGGTGAAAGACCATATAAGTGTGATGAATGTGGGAAGGCTTTCAAACTGAAGTCAGGCCTAAAGAAACATCATAGAACTCATACAGGGGAGAAGCCCTATAAATGTAATCAATGTGGGAAAGCATTTGGTCAGAAATCACAACTCAGAGGACATCATAGAATTCACACAGGGGAAAAACCCTATACATGTAATCATTGTGGGGAAGCATTTAGCCAGAAGTCAAACCTCAGAGTACATCACAGAACTCACACTGGGGAAAGACCCTACAAATGTGATGAGTGTGGAAAAACTTTCAGGCAGAAATCAAATCTTAGAGGACATCAGAGAACTCACACTGGGGAGAAACCCTATGAATGTAATGAATGTGCCAAATCTTTCAGTGAGAGGTCAATCCTAAGAAAACATCAGAGAACTCATACAGGAGAGAAACCGTATAATTGTAATCACTGTGGTGAAGCTTTCAGCCAGAAATCAAACCTCAGAGTACATCAGAGAACTCACACTGGAGAGAAACCCTACAAATGTGATCAGTGTGGAAAAACTTTCAGTCAAAAATCAAGCCTTAGAGAACATCAGAAAGCCCATGCAGGGAAATAAAAATATAAACATAATTAAGATGGAAAAACTCTGAGCTGAAAATAAAGTCTCATAATACAAAATAAAACACATATGAGAGAACTCCTATGAATATAATAAAAACTTGGAAGTTCTTATGCAAGATACTAGCTTCACTCAACATCAGAGAACTTAACATGAGCAAATTTCTTGGAATATATTTTATATGGGCAGTTTCATCTTGAGTGTAGTCCTCATTGTAGATCAGAGAATGCAACCCAGTAAAGAAACTAATACAAGAAATACTCTAGGCATTCAATCCTTAGAAAACTCACACTGCAGAAGAACTCTGGGAATGTAATGAATATGTCAAAACTTTGTCCCAACAAATCAAAATTCATTCATCATCAGAGAAATCTAACAGTGAGAAAATTGGGAATGGAGTAAGTGTGTGATAGTAAATGTTAGTCAAACACCAGTTTTTTCAATAAGCAGAAAATAACATAAAGGGTAGAGACCCTACAGTATATTAAAGCAGACAAGAAAACAAGGTAATGGATGTGGGGAATCCTACTATGTCAAACCTCAATTTTGACTAACACAGAGTAATAACTATATGACATATGATGACATATGTCATATGATATATGACATATGACATATTCATTGTTCACCAATAACCATTTCCTCTTTTTCTAATGCCACACCTAGCTTAAATTTCTCAACTACTGTCATCCAACTTGAAATCATATTTTTAACCTCTGGATAGTGAAATGTAGGGGTCAATGACAGGTCTTACTAAATATATCTCTCAAATTCTTAATGTTTTCTCCTGTCCCTTGTCAAAATGCAGTGATTATTACCCCCAGAAAAACCAAGGGGCTTATGCACAGAAGATGAAAGAGTACAAAATAGAAAGAAACAGGGCCAAAGAATAAATATTGAATGGAATTTTCTCCTGCGTATACACCTACTTTTTGCTATGAGGAAATAGACTTGTTCTTTGCTGAGCTTCTGCAGGTTCGAGTATACTTAATACTGACATATACTCATCAAACCTATGAATATGATTTCTGTGGACATGTGAACTCAGTGTAGTATATCAGAAATATCACACAGGAAAAACACCTGGCAAATCCTGTGAATGACCGTAGCTTTTGTCCATAACTCTTCCTCGTCAATCAGGTGAGTATCAGGGGAAGATATCTAATATTACTGCATATATAGGTAATCCATTACCCAAAAAATGAAATCTCATTGAATATCTGATAATTGAGCTGTGAATGTGCCAAAGCTTTTAATGAGTCGTCAAAGTTTAATATCATTCGGAGTTTGTTATGAGGGAAAAATTTATCAGTTTGAGAAAGTTAATAATAGCCTTTATGTTAATCAAAACTGTTGTTCCTTGCATAATATTGAGACATTTAATGAACTATAACAGTATTGGTTCATGGACTACTAGAATAAGAAGGTTTTTAAAAATAAGAAATAAATGGTATAAGCTACGCAGTGTTGAATATATGTGAATATCTTCTGAGTTTTCTCTTGTCTACATCAGTTTGTATGTGCATGCCACTTCAATGTTTGTTTTGTATGTATCCTAGAACTCTACAGCATTGTAATAGAATTATGTACCCCTTATTTAGTAACTATTCTGATCAGCTATGTATATTGATACATCATCTACATGTATATTAATAACAAATAAACCTTTCACAGGAAGTATCTGAAAATTTGGAATCCTATACCACATTTCTTTTCTCTTGTTGCCATTTTTACTAAGCTGTCTTTTTTCAACAAAGGCAAACCCTGTTTTCTGTGTACTTTTGTATTATCTCAGGGTCACTAATACAAATACTGTGTTGAAGCCTACACACATACAAATTTATATAAATGTGTTTGTATTCTGCCTCTTTTCAATGTCACTGAATCCTTCCTCAGTTGTATCAAGTATATTGATAATCCATCTTTTAAAAGGCATTCTTCATTTGTTGTGTTTTTTATTTCCAGCATTTAAATTTTGCTCTAATTTCTCTCTCTTCTGAACTAACCTTCTGATCTTGCATGTTATTTAGCTTCTTTTACAGTCATTTTATATGGTGGCTGGCATTCTCTGTCTCAGTTAAACAACTGCTTGAGTTCTTGTTTGTCCCTGCAGCTACCTACCTCTCCAGACTGTGGACTGGTTTTTTGCCCCATAATCTCAGATATCTGATGTAGTAAAAAAAAAAGTTGTTAATTGAAACTCTTCCCAGCTATCTTCTTATTTAAGAATAGGAACAGTGCTTTTTCTGGCTCTCTAATGATCTGAAATGTAACTGAGAGTTGTTAGTTGATTTTGGACTGTAGCCTGCCAGACTTCTCTGTCCATGGAATTCTCCAGGGAAGAGTACTGGAGGGGATTGCCATACTCTCCTCCAGGGGATCTTCCTGACCCAGAGATCAAACCTAGGTCTCCTGCATTGCAGAGAGATTGTTTACCATCTGAGCCACATATTTATATAAATTACATGTCAATATATTTGATTTTAAAGATTATAAAAGGGAATTTTGGATCTCCAGCATATTATGGGACTCAGATTCTGAATTCGTCACATGGCTCACTGGCTTTACTACTTGTGTATTTATTCCCTTCTCCCTCCAATGTGGCTGTGTGACCTTGGGCAAGACAGTTCTCCCTCTATATCCCTCAGTTTCCTCATTTGTGAGGGATGCATAATGATGGTAATTACCTACAATGCTTCTTGAGGGCATTTTCTGAGCTAATCTGTGTCAGTCATAAACAATGTGTGTGTCATAAACAATGCCTGTAAATGAGCTAAAAGTAATAACTAACCATTATCTTTTGAATTGTGGTGCTGGAGTAGACTCTTGAGAGTTCCTTGGACAGCAAAGAGATCAAACCAGTCGCTCTGAAAGGAAATCCACCTTGAATATTCAGGTTCTGAACTGATGCTGAAGCTCCAATATTTTGGCCTCCTAATATAAAGAGCTGACTCATTGGAAAAGACCCTGATGCTGGCAAAGATTGAGGGCAGGAGGAGAAGAGGGTGACAGAGGATGAGATGGTTGGATGGCATCATCAACTCAGTGGACATGAGTTTGAGCAAACTCTGAGGGACAGTGAAGGACGGAAGTCTGGTGTGCTGCAGTCCATGGGATAGCAAAGAATCAGACTTGACTTAGCAACTGAACAACAAACCATTATCTATTTTACTACTGTTATTAAAAACAGAGCTTAAACCAAAATTATAGCTGATAATAATAAAAAATACATTAGGCCAAAAGGAGATTCAGCCTTGATATAGTTGGGAGTTCCTCATACTCTTGAGGCATTACTTTTTATCTGATGATACAATTCCTGAAATTTGGAAGCCTCAGATCTGTGCACTGGCCTGTGTACCTCAGCCAAAAATGTTTTCTAAGTGTCCAATTCCCAGGAAATTGCTTTTCCACAAAAGCAGGAAAATCACCACCATCTATCCCCTTCCCCCCAGAGTTTCTCTCTGATAGAAGCCTGAGCTACACTGGAATATTGTCACTTGGGTTCTCTGTTACAAGTTCTTGCATCCAGGGTAGGAGTTACACAGCAGATGTATAAATATTCTAGACAGAAGTCACACTTTAAGATAGTACCAGCAACACACACACACGCATCCTCTAATGGTCACCGCTGCCCTGAGTCCTGTTTCCCTGCCATACTGAAGGTGATTCCATTAATGCCTTTTAACACTGGAACTGCATGTTGAGTTCTCTTGTGTACAGGAATCACTTCATGGTGACCTCTCTGATGAAAGAAGATTTAGAGATCAGCAGGTGATTTGGCCCTAATCATGGGCAAAAGGCATGAAATTTTGCATTCTTTAGCAGAGCTTATGTCAGAACCTTAAAAAGACACCATTTCAAGTAGTAGATACAGACACCTGCCAGGTTACAGAGTTTTGAGGGGCATGACTTGGGCCAGAGTTTGAGAACTCATCTTCAAGGTCAGTGGAGAATTTTGAGAAGGACCTTGAGATAAGATTGAGCTTGATGAGGCAAATTTGGAGACTAGAGTGACATATATTCACTACCATGTGTAAACAGTTAGCTAGTGGGAACTGCTGTTCAGTTCAGTTCAGTTCAGTCGCTCAGTCGTGTCCGACTCTTTGCGACCCCATGAATCATAGCACACAAGGCATTCCTATCCATCAACAACTCCTGGAGTTTACTCAAACTAATGTCTTATCGAGTCAGTGATGCCATCCAGCCATCTCATCCTCTGTCGTCCCCTTCTCCTCCTGCCCCCAATCCCTCCCAGCATCAGGTTCTTTTCCAATAAGTCAACTCTTCACATTAGGTGGCCAAAGTATACTGGAGTTTCAGCTTCAGTCCTTCCAATGAACACCCAGGACTGATCTCCTTTAGGATGGACTGGCTGGATCTTCTCGAAGTCCAAGGGACTCTCAAGAGTCTTCTCCAACACCACAGTTCAAAAGCATCAATTCTTCGGCGCTCAGCTTTCTTCACAGTCCAACTCTCACATCCATACGTGACCTCTGGAAAAACCATAGCCTTGACTAGATGGACCTTTGTTGGCAAAGTAATGTCTCTGTTCTTTAATATGCTATCTAGGTTGGTCATAACTTTCCTTCCAAGGAGTAAGCGTCTTTTAATTTCATGGCTGCAGTCACCATCTGCAGTGATTTTAGAGCCCCCAAAAATAAAGTTAGCCACTGTTTCCACTGTTTCCCCATCTATTTCCAGGAAACTCTGCTCGGTGCTCTGTGATGACCTAGAGGGATGGGATGGGGAGGGGGGAGGGAGGTTCCCAAGGGAGGGAATGTGTGTCACTTGGGTTGATATACAAAGCTGAGTGTTGTACATTAGAGATTAACAACATTGTAAAGCAACATACTCCAATAAAAAAGAAATTTTAATAGGAAGAAAATATTTAACTCAATTCTCAGAGGCCCCTCCATATTCCTAAGGGAAACTTACAGTCATCAGTGGTGAAGGCATGACTGTACCTGTAAATGCTTCAGCAGTAGGTGAGATGAAAT